TTTATTTATTTATTTTTATATATAACTGACATCTCACATCATCAAATATTCTTTTTCAAATAAGGCCGATATTATTTTACCTTTAAAATATAAGTATTTTTTTATTTGTAAATATTAATCAATACTAGAATTAGCCTCGCTACGGCAAGCTCTGCATACAAGTTTTAGGTGTTGTTCGATGAATTTGAATTTTAAGTGTTATAAAATTTTTAGAGTTGATTTTCTTAAGTATACAAACTATTTTATATTATCTGAATTTTAGGTGATAGAAATTATTAAAATTGTTTGATAGTAATAGCATTGGATATGTAAAGACTCAAACTATTCATTTTATAATTTAATATTTGGGGTTTCCGAGCAATTAGAAAATAGGCAATGGGTGGGGACACAATTTCACATTCTTTGTTAAGGTGCCTGAATTACCAAAACCCCTTATTTAAAATACAATTAATTCTCATATTAATTTTACTCATAGATTGTGCGCACACAAGAGTAGATTCTAAAAATCTTAATTTTGTAAAAAACACAATTTAATTTTTATTCGCGCTATGAAATTTTTAAGTAAATGGCATTTTCATGATTAGTCCTTAGAAACATTGCTTTATAGTCCAGTCATGGTAGATGCAGTCTAAAATTATATGATTTAGTAAAATTAAGCTAGTATTTAGGTTTTGATAAACAACTCATTTTGAGAATAAAAAAATATATATTTTATACTAATTGAATAATTAAAATCTAATATTTAAAAACAGATTGTAATTTTGACCACCCTCTAGTGTTTAAACTATGACTTGAGGTGTGAACCTTCTTTTTTTAAAAAAAAAAACTCCACACATAAATTTGTCTTCTATGTTGATCCATCATATCACTTAATTTCCTCTATTTTTTAAATAAAAAATATTTTAAAATTTTTCTTTATGTTTTGCATTAGTTTTATTAATATTTATTTTGTATTGATTGTCAGTTGTTGTCAAAGAAACATATGTTTGTTTGGCATTGGAAATCAATTATATCAAAGATACACTGTATGAAGAAAAATAAATTCCTTTTTTATTTCTCTCTTAGCCGGTCACACATCCGCCTTAAAGTACACAATACCTCGAAACCAAACACACTCTTAAAGCTTTCATTTTTTTGATAAAGAACATTGTCACTTGTGAGATGGTGATGAGAAATAAATTACTCATTTTCTCATTCAGTAAAAATATAAATAAATTAGATTGACAAGTAGGTAGAGAGAGATGGGTGTCATTTTTCAGCGCTTATATATTCACATACACATATGAACCCATTTGAATATTGGCTGAAAAAAATATTACTAATTTGACTTAATTGGATGGTGTAATTTGTTGACAACTCAACTTCAACTTTCCACAATTTGGATATGAAGGCCTTGGAACATTAAAAATCTATATAATGCTTCTATAATCTTCATTTACCCAAAAGTGACCATACAGGATGCATATGTTGTTAAGACAAATGAAAATGGAAATAGAAATTGAAATGAAAAACTTTTTTTATTAAACCAAGAGAAAAGATTCAAGGAATTACATAATTTGACATGGACCAATAACAAATTCAAATTTATTGAAGAAACTTTTCTATTTGGCTAATTATATCAAAGATATACTTTTCTATTTCTCTCTTGGTCGCACATGTCATACATTTGCCGAATAGCACACAACACCTCCAAACCAGACACATCCTTAAAGCTTTCAGCTTTTTCGGTAAGGAACGTTGTCACTTGTCAGATGGTGATGGTAAATAAATTACCCATTTTCTTATTGAGCGAATGATACAAATAAATCAGATTGACAGGTAGGTGGAGAGAGCTGGATGTTATTTTTCTGTTATATATCATACGAGTCTATAAAATTATGTTATACTATATATATGTGTGTGCGCGCGCGCGCGTATATATTCACACATATATATATATGAACTCCTTCGAATATTGGCTAAAAAAAATATTACTAATTTGATTTAATTGGACAATGTAATTTGTTAGACAACTCAATTTCAACTTTCCTATGCAACCGTCAATAAATAGAAATGAATTTATGCACCATAAATACTCTCTGAATTCTTTGGTGACTTATAATCTGTTCTCTATATGTTTTTTTCCACAATTTGGATATTAAGGTCTTAGAACATTAAAAATCTGTGTAGCACTTCTATAATCTACAGTACCCATAGGTGACTATAGTCATGCATATGTTGTTAAAGATAAATGGAAATGGAAATAAAAATGAAAAACTTCTTTTATTAAACCAAGAGAAAAGAATCAAGGAACTACATAATTGAATATCGATGGATAACAAACTCAAATTTATTAAAATAGCTTCACAATAATAACATTACTTTGATCATTTGGCTAATCAAATTACTGTGAAAATACAAAGATCATGACCACCGGCAATATAATTGCAGCTTACAAGAGTGGGAGAATTATGTGGTAAGAAGAAGCTTTAGCAACATCGGTGGTGCCTGAATTGTCACCGGATTTAATATCAGGCCATTTTGTACAAAGACAATGTTGACCTTTTGGAGTCTATTTATAAACCTTTGACACATGAAATCCACAGCCATCCCAAGTAGTCTTGCCACAAGTCTGACACTCCACCTCCTAACACATTTTTGTAAATTCACACCTTTCTTTCTCTTCCTTGGTTTAGATTGAATTGAATTGTTTTGCATTAGACGAAGCAATCCTTTTATAGTACAATACATGTGAATATATATTATTACTTCAAACATGCCATGTTGTTTAATTTGGACCATGCAATGGTTGATCGGGGTTCATAGACGTGTTGATTAGGGGTGCAACTTGGATTGGGTAACCTGAATCCAACCTGAGCTCAGTCTGATTTTTCATGGGTTTGAACAATTATTTTTACAATTAAGGTTGGGTTTGGGTTGAAAAATCTCAACTCGAATTTAATTAGGGTTGGGTTTGGGTTGAAGTGCTAGCAACCCGAGCCAACCCGAACCCGAATTCTAATAGTATTTTCACATATATATTTACTTTTAAATACATTATATATAAAATATAAACTATGATTACTTTTTTTCTTTTCAACTTTTTTTGTTAAATTTTAACTTATTATATATTAGCATTTAGGAAAATTAATTTTCTAAAAATTTGTTTGTAATTTATTAAAAATCTATAAAAAGTTTTTAAATTTCTTCTTGTGTAAGAGTAATTTAATCTAAAACTAATAATTCAAGATCATATTAAATTTTCGATATAAAGATTAGCCATATGAGTAGCCCGAATTAACTCAAAATTTTAACCTGGAATCTAAGCCCGAATTTAAAAGTAGAAAGATGGGTTGGGCTCGGGTTGAGTAGTTAAGGTTGATGATAGAATTAGGATTGGATTTGGGTTTAACATTTCATATGATGGATTAGGTTCAAGTTATATCTCAAATCCGTCTAACCCGCCCGAATTGCAACCCTAGTGTTGATTGACCGGACCCAAATAAACAAATGGTTGCATGAGACCATTGACTCGGTGAGGTGCAATGCATGGTAAGTTAATCCAAATATTTTAATTTGGACCTTGCAGGGATTGTTAAGACTTGGTTCATAGACACGGTGTATTATTTACTTGATTGAAAGAGAGCAGTGACTTTGTCCATCAAGTCTATGCATGCTACCTCTGTCTCGAATCTTCTACTCTGACGGGGGTTGTGGGATATCCAAATCACCATTACTAATAATTGAAAATAAGTAAAATTAGTAGTATATAATAATAAAAAATAAAAATAAAAAAATGATGGGGACAATTGCCTCCACTGACTGTGAAATGGCTTCGTTCCAAACTATAATCGGATTCACAGATCAAATGTCACACTTAATAAGTATCCTTTAAATGTGAGTATGAACCATCTTGATTGGAGTTTAAATGATAGTCTTAATTAGATTACACAATTTGTATAATTACGTATTTGTTTTTATTTTATATCAATTTGTCATCAGTCTATTAATTTGTTGTGAATTAATAGCCCATACGAGACTTTAGCAGACCCCTCAACTTTTCTTGCATAAAAGAGAACAATTTGGCCATCAAATTCATTAACAAATAAATTGTGTGGATGTGAAATTTGTGTATTTAAATAATTGGTACTCATCTTCATTTTTATATATTTAAATAAATAAAAATAATCATATATCTTACAATTATAAATAAAATTGAATAAAAAATATTTGAATTTAATTTAGGTATATTTTGGACAACTTTTGCTTGATTCTGACTTGACTAGTATATCATTTTGAATGGAAATTTAAATGTGAAAGAGTATAAGTTTAAAGAGTTTAGGTTGAATGTTATGGACCTTAAAATGAGTTATGAATGGACCAGGTGCGTCACAACACTTGCATTAGAGGGTTCACAAGCCTCACACTTGTAGAGGATTAAGACTGAAACTATAAATTTGATTATCTTATCTCAAATTGAAATTAGACTGATTCTCTGTTGAAAAAAAAACAAAGAAGCTTAGATTAAATTGAGTATTCCTAATAATATTTTAATTTTTAAAATAAATGAATTATAAGAATGAAGGAACGGATAAAGAAAAATACCGCAGCACACATGATATAAAGTTTGAACAGACATGATGTGGAACGTACGCGTAGCATTTGATGTTCGATTTTGAGGTCGGGGGCTAAAGAGGGACAATCATGACCGTTCAAATGATATCGGATTTGGATTTTGATACATGGTAAAACACTGGATTATAGCTTTCTATGCATGTTACTTAGGTGGGTAGTTTTTTTTTATTTTTTATTTTTTTATTTTTTTATATTTTTCGGAAGGTAAGTGATTGTATTGAAATGATAAAATTACAAGGTACAAAGAATAGAGGCCCAAGACAGCCACCAAACAGACAAGCCAAAGAGGCCCATTCAACAATTGAATAAAGACACTAATATTCTAAAACCCCTAGAATAGCTATGTCTAAAACAGCTAACATCCAATGAGGCAGAGCCTCCAGTGATCAATCCAGCTCCGGCGGTGGTTTGATGAAGGACTGAGGAAGGTCCCAATCAAGCACGATTCTCCTCGCAGAAGGTGAGTCTTTCACACTTATAGATAGTAATCTCCATTTCACCAATTCCATAGATCGATTTAACACCCTATTTTGCGATTTTCTTTGGTTTGTGAAGGCCCGTTCATTGCGCTCCATCCAGATCTGATTGACAGTGGTGGAGAGCACAAGCTTGTTGATCAAGTTTTCCAGATTCCGCCCTCTCCATTGATGAGAAACCCAATTGATGAAGTCGACCCAAGAATTGGGCACAACATGCAATCGACACTTGGATTGTAGGAATCTCCAAATTGGGTTGGTGAAGGTGCAGAAAAAAAAGATGTGGTCATGAGATTCATCAGCAGATTGGCAGAGTAGGCATAATCTAAACCCAGTGAAGGGTTGCATACATATTCTGTCATATGTTGAAAGGCAGTTCTGTATAGCTAGCCACAGAGTAAATTTGTAGCGAGGAATGGAAAACGGATTCCAAACAAGATGCTACCAGTGCTTTATTTGATGGTGGGGCGCAAGCCAGCCTATAGTGTGCTTGAGGGAGAAGTCACCCTAAGGTGAGGGAATCCATATGCTGGTGTCAGATGCTGACAAGGGATTATTAATCTGAAGGAGACCCGGGAAGTGAAAGGTAAGAGGAGGTGGGAAATTCCAACTCTCATCATTTCCCCTTAGTAAGGATAGGTGTTGTCTTGGCAAAATAAGCATGTTCTGAATTAGATTAGGGTTGGCTTGATAGGTAAGTGGACCATCAGGAAGCCAGTTATCCTCCCAGAAAAAGGTTCTGTTACCATCACCTACCTTCATCCTTATCATTGAGCGAACAATACCTCTAAGCTGCAAGAGTTTCTTCAAGTTGTTTGAACATGCTTGAGGAGGATTCATTGTCCAAATAAATCTTCCACGTATAAGTTGTGTCCTCACCCATTGAGCCAGGCCAGCAGCAGTGTTAGAGATCTCTAGATTTCGAAACCCCAGGCCCCCACAGTTTTTGGGTTGGCATATAGCGTGCCAAACAATTTTTGCACCAGTGTAAGAGAGCTCGTTCCCCTTCCATAGAAAATTCCTTATAAGCCCATTAATCTCGGAAATGACTGACTTAGGCAGAATGAAGATGCTTAGCCAGTAGATAACCATGCTGTAGAGCACCAATTGGATTAATTGTATTTTGCCTGCATAGGAAAGAAAGGAAGACGACCAATGAGTGATTCTTCTAGTAACCTTCTCCACTAATGGTCTGCAATCAGCTGCCCCAATTGATGATGAAATTAGGGGAACACTAAGGTAATTCATAGGCAAATCTCCACATGAAAATCCTAGTAGTGTCTTAATTTCATTGGTGAGTGCATTGTTGACCCCAGACACAAATAAGCTACTCTTCGAATGGTTGATACATAGTCCAGAGAGCTTAGAAAAATGATCAAGAGCCTACTTAAGAGTACCAATTGAGGTTAGGTACCTATAAGAGAATAAGAGGAGATCATCAGCGAAGATAAGATGAGAGATAACCAAGTTCCTGCATCTTGAGTAAAACTTAAAGGAGTGGTTGTCAGCAATGAATTTTTTTTGTGGTAGACGTAAACACTTCCATAGCAACCACAAATAGTAGGGGTGAGATGGGATCCCCTTGCCTCAACCCCTTCACTCTTGGAAAATACCCATGGAATTCACCATTAATAGATATAGTAAAAGATGGGGAGGTTATACAAGCTTTCACCCATTTCACAAATGTACATGGAAAGCCAAATAGGGTGAGTGCATTAATTAGGAAGTCCCAGCCAACAGAATTAAAAGCCTTCATTAAGTCAACTTTGATAGCACATCGGGGAGGGGCAAGGTGTCTGTGATAGCCATGAAACAATCCCTGAGTAAGTAGTACGCTATCCACAATATGCCTATCTTTTACAAATGCATTTTGACATGGATCAATGATAAAAGGTAAAAATTTCTTGAGCCTGTTAGCAATCAGTTTAGCAAGGAATTTGTATATAGTGTTGCAGCAAGAAATAGGGCAAAAATCATTAAGCGATGATGGATTAGGTACTTTAGGAACCAAGGCTATATAAGAATTGTTAATCTCTTTAAGGAGATTCCTACTAAGGAAGAATGATTTGATGCCTGCAACAATGCTATTTCCCACAATAGGCCAAGCCTTTTGGAAGAAGTGACCATTAAACCCATTTGGCCCTGGGGATTTATCTTTATTGAGAGTTAGGAAACAAGATTGAATTTCAGCATCAGTAGAAATGGAAACAAGATCATGTAAAGATTACTGGGGATGTGATTTTGTAATGAAAGGTTGTAGGTGTGCAATCCCCGGGTAAGAGAGAGGTGAGGAGCCCAATAAATCCTTAAATTGAGCTACAATCTCAGCATTGATAAGGGATACCTGGTCAATGGAGGTTCCATCACGAGCAGTTAAGCAAGTGATCTTCCTTCTATTAATTTTTGAGTTAAAGATTTTGAAAAAATAGGAGGTGTTGCTATCCCCAGCTTTCAAGCATCTGACCCTGTATTTTTGGCTGATAAAGTGTTCCTTAGAGAGAGCTAGCGAAGTGTGATTCTCCATGAGTTCCTTTTTCACCATCTTAAGATGCTCATCCATAGGTTTAGAGTCCAGCTGCTCCTGACAATTGGTTAGTGATTTCTTAGCTTGATTGACCAACTCAGAGACATGTGAGATTTCCACCCTACACCTTTGCTTAAGCAGCCCTTTAAGAGCCTTTAACTTCTGAACAATCTGATACATGGTTGAACCTTCAAAATGAGTAATCCAAACCTCCTCCACAGTAGTGCGAAACTGAGAATTGTGAGCCCAGGTATTAAAATACCTGAATGGAACTTTCAGTGGCTATTGAGGAGACCCTATCCTAATAAGGATGTGACTATGGTTTGAAATACCAGGGAGAGGAACTTACAGTCAGACATAGGAAAAGCAATAGACCATTCCTCATTGGTAAGTGATGAGCGCTAAAAAATGCGTATTTAAACCTCTTAAGCTTAGGCATTCTAGTACCTTTATCTATTTTACTTTACCGTTTTAGATTGATTTCGTATTATTTCCATTTTCAGGCACTTATCCCGAAAATAAGCTAACTCAGCCAAATAAAAGCAGAAATGAAGCAATTCTGGGATAAATTAAAGAAAGGAGTCAAGCGGAAGCAAAAGGAAGAAAAAGGTGGAAATCAACATCTTCGATCGATCTTAGATTAAAGTTCGATCGATCCAACATGATCGATCTCAGCACTTCAAGATGGATCAGAGCCATAATGATATTTTCAGAGATCCCAAAAGTTCGATCAATCCAACATTATTCTTCGATCGATCGAACTACTTTGTCCTTATCCAAATGATTGATCTTATTCAGTTGTACCACCCTACCAATCACTTTTGTCCTTTTCCCAAAAATATCTTCAAAATATCTCAGATTTGTCTTTATCCAAAAAGCGCTATCAGTGAGGATCGATTCAGCCTAAGTTCGATAGATCTTAGCTATGTTCGATCGATCCAAGTCCAAGGTTCGATCGATCGAACTTCCTCCAATGCGAAAAAGTTAAATTCCCAGTTCATTGAAAGTTGTCCTTATCCAATCATTGGGGAATATTTTGTGCATGAACCCAGCTCATTTTTGGGTGTCATTTGACCTACCTATATAAGGATAAGGATTGCTTTTTACATAAAAAAAAATCACATATCATATCATATCATCTCATACCTTATAGAACTCTTGGAGAGCAAGCTTAGAGGAGGAGGAGGCTAGAGACACCATTGGAGACTCTTCATCAACCAATGAGCAAATCTCTACTATGGAGTTAGCCCTTGAGGGTTGGAGAAGCACTACCATGAGTGGCTAGACATCCTCTTGGGGCTAGAGTTAGCCCCAAACATGCTTTTTACATCTTGATTTTATGTATTAGTGAGGGATTAGTGTGGTAATACATGTTTTGGCACTTTTATTTATATAGATCTTGTTTATTCAATGACTTATATGGTTTAATGCTTCCAATTGATCATTTCATTCTATCCATATGTCTATGTATGCTAGAATAGATTTTCATGTGTTTGTCTCTATTTCTTGTGTTATTGATGGATGTTTATGTGTATTAGTGCCTTAGATCTAGAGATTGTCAAAACATTGTGCTTAAAAGAATGCTCTTGTGATTTTCTAGATGGTCCATGCTCATTTCTTGATGGATTGTGCCTCTTCCTTAGCTTAATTAGTTTAATTTCATGTCATTAGCTTAATTGTAGTGTAGTGGTAGCATAGTTGTTAGATGGGATGATAATCCATGCTTGTTGTTTGATGTTCCATACTTTTGAATGCAAGTAGCATATGTCTCTAACCTTGTGGTGTATTTGGTTTGTAAGCTTAATAAAAGGATTAATGACTTGCTAGATATATTGTGCTTTTCACATGCTATTTAGACAATATATACTTAATTGCTAGATATATTGTGCTTTTCATATGTTAATTAGATAATGTATGCTTAATTGGTTACAATTGCTAATTGAATCAACCAAACACACATACACATCAATATTGTAACACACATTTCCCTCATTAGTCACTAGTTAAGGGTGTAGAAAAGCATTACTTGGTGGTGACCTCTAAACCCCAAGATCTCTCTCTCTCTTACTTACTCTTTATTGCATTCAATTATTTAGTTTAATTTACTCTCTAGTTTCATCAACCAACCAACCATTTGTTTGATCACTCGACCTACTAACCCTAATTGTGATTCCACAAGCTAGTACGACTCCAATCCCTTGGGACGATCCCTACTCACTTTTGCTACTTTAGTAGTAGTGTTGGTAGTGGTTTTTATAAATTTAAATTTTACCCAAAAGGCTTTTCTTGAACCGCACATTCACTACATTATTTGAGCGTATATCAAGTGGCCTCGTCAAATTTTGGCGCCGTTGCCGGGGATTAGGCAAATTCGTATTTGTGGAATTCATTAGGAATTTGTACTCTTTTGATCGTGTCTTTACTTTGTTTTTATTTTTCTTTTGATTACTTATTGTGTTTGTTCATCTTTGACAAGGAGTATTGAGTTAGGAGGCAAGCAAAGGAGCATCAAAGCAAAGGAGCTAAGCAAGCAAGGAAAAATGCTAAAAATTTAAAAAAAAAAAATTTACTAAGCTAGGCTATAAATTTGGAATTGAAGTGCTAAAGGACCTTTGTGAGCTTTTTCTTACTCAATCCCTTAGCTAAATCGTCGGTCCGTGTGGAGGCTTGCTTTTAATTGTTCTTTGCATCATTGTTGTTAAAGCATAGGAGTATGGGTTAAGTGTTTGTGGAGGAAGATTCATTAAATTGTTGTGAAGTTGAAGTGTTTGTTCATTCATTGTGTTTATGTGTTTTTACATTGTGCATGTATGGTCGTAGATCA